TTGCCAATACCACACTGTCTTGATGACTGTTGCTTTGCAGTAAGTTTTGAAAGTGAGAAGTGTGAATCCTCCAGCTTAATTCTTCTTTTTCAAGATTCTTTTGACTATTCTGGATCCCTTGAATTTCCATATTAATTTTAGGATCAAATTATCAATTTCTGCACACAATGGCAGCTTGGATTTTAAGAAAGTTTGCATTAAATCTGTGGATCAACTTCGGGGAGCACTGCTATCATAACAATATTAAATCTTCCTGTCTATGAAGAGGGGATGTCTTTCCCTTTACCAATCATTTTCTTAAAGGGGGAAAGAAGCATTTTTTCAAATTTATTTATGAGAGAGGGAGAGAACATGAGCAGGGGTGGGGGGCAGAGGGAAAGAGAGAAAATCTCAGGCAGATTCTCCGCTGAGCAGGGAACCCGATGCAGGGCTCGATCCCAGGACCCTGGGATCATGACCTGAGCCAAAGGCAGACTCTTAACTGACTGAGCCACCCAGGCGCCCCTATCCAGTCATTGTTTATATACTAGAGGAATGAGATGATGCAGCTATGTCCCTAGGAAAACAGAAATGATATTCCTTGGTTATGGGATAATTGGTAATTTTTATTTTTAAACATTCCTGCATTTTCCAATTTTTCAACAAGAGTATCTTTTATATAACCAGAAAGAAGTTATTCTTTCAATATTTTATTTATTTATTTATTTATTTATTTACTTGACAGAGAGAGAGTACAGCAGGGGGAGCAGGGGGAGCAGCAGAGGGAGAGGGAGAAGTGGGCTCCCTGCTTAGCAGGGAGCCCAATTCAGGGCTCAATCCCGGGACCCTGGGATCATCATGACCTGAGCCAAAAGCAGGCGATTAGCCGACTGAGTCACCCGGGCACCGAGGTCATGATCCTAGGTCCCAGGATTGAGCCCCATATCAGGTTCCCTGCTCAGCAGGGAGACTGCTTCTCCCTCTGTCCCTTACCCCTCTCTCACTCTCTCTCTCAAATAAATTTTTTTAAAAAGGAAAATATTATTTATTAAAATACACTCACATTTAAAGTACTTTATAAACATGAATATGCTTGGAAATGAAAATGGTTGAAAGATTTTTCAAGATACCTGAACAATACCAGTGTTTATACTCGGCCATCTCTTCATCAGAATTTACTGATTGAATACTTTATGGCCAATAGTGTGCTAGACCCTAAATGTACTGTTTTTTGTCTATTTGCTTGTTTAGTTTGTTTGTTTTTAAGTAGGCTCCACACCCAGCATGGACCCTGAGATCAAGTCCTGAGCTGAAATCAAGAGTCAGACGCTTAACCCACTGAGCCACCCAGGCACCCCTGAGTGTATTATTTTAACAAAATAAACATGATTCCTACCCTCATGAAGCTACATTTAGTGGGAGACTGACAATAAACATTCAAACAAAGTAGAAAATAGAAATGCAATTACAAATTGTAAAGAGTACTATGGCAGAAAGCCCCTGGTACTACGATAGCGAATAATGGTGGGGAAGAGCTAACTCACTTTGATATAGTGGTCAGGAAAGCTCTCTCTAAGGTACCAGTGTTTGCACTGAGGCTTGGCTACTTGATATAAGGGCAAATGTTGGTGTTTGGTATCTGTCAAATGTTCAAGTTTCTTAAACTTAATGTTTAAACTTAAGTTTAAACTTAATGCTCAGTTTCTTAAACTGAAAGGTAAAAATAGGAAGCTTTAAAATTCCAAAGGGAAATTAATTTCAACAAATAGAGTAACCCCACCACCTCCTATACCATGGTAAATAGGGTCCAAAAAAATTCAATACTATAAAATGTGGGGTTAAGTGATCATAAAGTTAATGAAATGCACCAGAAGAGCCTACTGTGGTCCCACTATACAGTCCCAACTCTCCCCCGTCCAACCCGCAGTTTGGCTCCACCTAAGAGTAGTTGTCTGTTCCAGCTTAACTATCCGTGGGGATGATTCTGGGGACCGAGGGCAGGCTGGGAGTTCCTGGATAGAGGCAGCAATTCCAGGAATCTCCAGTGAGCTGGTGCCTTTTTGTCAGCCTGCTGGGGAAGTATGGGCCAAGAGAATACTGAAGATTTGAAGCCCTACCCTTTCTCTCCATCTTCCTGAGGTTGTGTGCCCTGACATGTCCCCTCCTGGTCTCAGTCTATCTTCCACTAGCCTCCCTCCAAACATGAGATCTCCAGCCCACTCCTGTTTGAGAATAAGAGTTAAGCAAAGGACCAAAGCCAAAATAACTGAATGAGGATTACCATGGAAGTTTTATTATAGGTTTGGTTGCTACTTGCCTACTCAATATCCATTCCCTGCTCTTAGTAACAGAACTCAGAGTTTGTTTAGGAGGCAACGTGACTAATCGAATTACATGCTTCCTTGAACTCTACTGCAAGAACACTACTGCATGGTAAGGTGATGGAGTTTAACTGATAAGATTTCAATTAAGGGATTTGGGAAAGCTCGACTTTAATGATATAGGCACTACTCATTTTAGCTTCCTTTTATACCTTCCTCCTTGGAACCTGGACATAGGGCTGGAAATACAGCGATCGCTTTAAGACCAGGAGATAACCATGAGGATGAATGTTTTATATGAAGAATAGTGATACAGAAAGATGGAAGGAAGCTGGGCATTGACACCATTGTGGAATGGCGGTCCCAGTCTGAATGAACCACCTCCAGACCTCTAGGTGAGAAAGTCCACCTTTGACTGTCCCGTTAGTTTTCCATTATATATAGCCAACTGAAATCCTAACAGATACAGTGGTATACCATGAGCATAAACTTAACACCTTTTAAAGAATCCAAGATTTTTAAGGTTTTAGTGGAGAAAGTCCAACTCTCAGATTATAAAAGAGAAAATTCACAGCACTCCATTCCTTATCACCCACTGTAGAGTGGTCAGTAAAGGTCATTAAACAAAAGTAGCACAAAGCAGCAGCTCCAGAGAGGGAGGCATTTAATGCCACTTATCTTCATTAACCTCATTTCCCAAGCCGTATCAAATAAACATATATTCCAGGTAAAACAGTGCTTGCTCTGTAAACATACTTCTAGAGAGGTTCCTTGGTTCCTCCTTGCAAGGAGATTGCCATCCCTGAACTCCTCCTATACGAGAATTTTTCACAGCATAAAATGACTTCCGAAGCAACTCTGCCCAAAGGTAAAGTTATGGCTTAGGGTACATAATTGCACATACCATCTTTCAACTTTCACACAGATGTATTAAAGTGATATGGCTCAAGGAATGATAGTTTTCTCTACTTTTACCTTAGCAGCCTTCTACTCTAATCTGAAATCTCCTATTTACTACCACACACTTACACACAATGCCTCACCCTCCAAAACAAAGTCCTCAGATTATGCCTACAGAATTCATTATTCTTCAGGGCAGATACAGCCAGCATTCAAAATAATACGAACATTTGTACAGAAAGTGTAGTTCAGATAAAGCAACATATTAATAGGCCAAATCAAAGGAAGGAAAAGAGAGAATTCTGCTAGTTCTCTGTATGTACCCTTGCCCATGTGAAATTAAATTCTTTGTGCATCCTAATGTGAAGAATGCAGACTGTTTTTATTATCACAAATAAGATAATGGGCATTCAAGTAGGAAATTCAAGTAGGCTGTTCAAGCAAGAAAAAAATCTAAACTATATGATGAAATTTTTTATCACAGAACCCAAAAAGGGAAGACTTCCAGATGAAAATCATGTGGAGTCAACTAGAATTACATTTTTTTTCATTTCAGAACAGAATTACTCCATAAAGTTTTCTGATATCTTTCTAATGTTTTCCAATGAAACTCTAGAAAAGTAATAAAATTCAGTCAAGAGTCATCATAACTGAATCGAGTCCCAAATAAGTTATTTTTTTAATTGTCAGAATCTTATATGTCAAATTACCTGTTTTAGAGATCTTTTAAAAAAATTGAGGGGGGATTCCCTACTCTTTTTTTCTCTAAGTAGGCAAGGACAATCAGCAGGAGGCAGCCTAGGATTTTCAGAGATCTTTACTATCACCAAGACAAAGGCTAAACTAATATGTAATATACAACTTAGGTGGCCTTCCTAGAAGGCAATTCAAATTTCAGCGTCGAAGGTCTTCCGTGCCCTGTGTCAACCCTTCAAAGAAGCATACCATAAAACATTACGAGTGCCTTCTTCACCATTTGTGTGTGATAAGTGATAAAAATGTGGGCAGAAGTAATGATTTTGCCAAGCCCTGCGGTTTGAAGCCACAACACAGGGAATCTAGAAGCAAACACACTGAGGGTTATAAGTGGTCTCGCAGAAGCGCCCTCACACCCCACTGGAGACTCACCTGGTTAGCTTGCCCCGCGGAGGTAGGGAGTCGGGTCTTTTTTCCAGACTCACCTCTAAACCCCCAGTTTGTGCCTGCGTGCTTGGTTTCCCTCAGGCTAACAGGTTTAAATCAGTACTGAGTGGCAAGCTATGTCCATTCTGTGGGTTCCGCAGTTTGGAACACAGGGGCTCTGCAGCACCCGAAAGTTCTTCGCAGCCTGTTTTCATGCCCAAACTCTGTCACTGAGAAAGCATCCCTATCCTGGTCCAGTCGCGGGGCTGTCCATTGAGCAGCCGGACGGATCGCTGCCCGGTGCGATAGCATCTCACCAGGAGCCGGAGGCTGCAGGGCAGCCCCTCTTACCTGGGACAAGTGGCCAGAACCCGTTTCAGCAGAGGCATGAATGCTCCAAGACCCGGGGAGGACTCGCATCCTAAAGAGATGTCTCCCAAAGCCCAGACAAAGACAGCGCTGGGAAAAGTTGGACCAACTAGCACCACCAGAAGGCGAGCGGCTCAGCCCCTCGGCCTTCGTGGCTGAGCCGGCGACGCGCTCTCAGAGTCGCAGCCAACTTTTCGGTGAGCTTCTGAGCAACTTGCTGGAAGTTGGGGCGAGGGGGCAGAGGAGGGGTCAAGGGCAGCGCGGAGAGGCTGGTTGTGCCCCAGCCGGTTTCGCGTACCTCCCCAGTACCTGCTAATGTATCCGTCCCCGTCGCCGTCGCACGTCTGGAAGAGGCGCCGCATCCGCTCCTCCTCGCCGGTGCTGGACGTGTCGCTGCTGCTGCTGCCGCTGCCGCCGCCGCCGCTGCTGCCACCGCCGCTGGCGCTCCCCGCCGCCGCCGCAGCCGCCATCATGCGCCGGCTGCCTGCTCGGGAGGAGGAGGACGAGCGACCGCGGGAGGAATCTGTGAGGCGCAAAAGCGGCTCGCAGCCCCGAACCTGCCTGACAACGGAGCATGCCCAGTGGCCGCCGGGGCGCTCCGGGCGCGGGATTCCAGCTCTCCGGGTTTTGCCCAGGCTGGGAAGATGGGCGCTCTGCAATCGCGGGAGTAGGCACCTTAGTGGAGAGGGAGGAGGGGAAGGTAGATCGTGGAGTCGGGGAGCCAAAGATGCCGAGGGGACGCCAGGGGACGCGAAGTGTGGCAGAGTACACAGGAGGTCCCCTGGAAGGGTGTCAACTCCGCGTATCCGACCACAACACGGACCTCTGACACTTGAGGACTCAGGCAGAGGCGAGTGTGCTACCGGCAGAACTCCTCCAGCTGCCGGGAGTCGTGGATTTCTTTTCAGAAGAAAGATAAACACTCCCGTTTTGCAAACTCAAAGCGATACTCCCAGTCTCAGTCTGCAAGATTGCGCTGGATTCTGTACCTATAACCCACAACCCACAAATGAGACCCAGAATGGCGGGGGATTTGTGCATTTTTAACACCTGTCAAGAAATCTGAACCTCCTTAGCTCCGACTGGTCTTCCACACTATACTGTAAACAGTCTGCTCTCCGGTGTGGCATTGTGTACGTTTGATCCATTTCTGGAGACGGCTCCTGACCTGACATCACTACTATTTGACCCAACAGTTTTAATAACATCAAGAGCGAACGTAATAGATGCTCTCATTTCACTGCAGACCTGAAAGATGTCTCTATAATTATCAACCCTATGTTTTAGAAGGTAGGTAACTACTTCATAGGGTATCTTGGTAATAAAATAAGAGAGTACATAATGCACTTAGGACAATGTCTTGATACCTACTAAGTACTCAGTAAATGTTAGCTCTCATTATCCCCAATTTACAGATAAGAAAACTAAGGCACCCAAACCTGCTTAAAATTCCAGGCTTAGTAAGTGTCAGGGCAGAGGCAAGCCCAGGCAGGCAGTCTAACTCCAAAGCAGGAGCCCTTAAACACAACAGTATCCTTCCACCACAGCAGAAAGGGAACCACAATGAACCAATTTGTGGTTTAGGGAATGACTCATTATTCTGTCCCAGACTTTCTGTCAGAGGTCTGAGAATTCCTGTGGTAGTTTTAAAAACACATCTGCAGATTCTTTGGTGCACCTCTCATCAAGAGACAGAGTCTGTTTGCCTCCCCCTTGAACCTGAGGGGGACTTTGTGAATATTCTCTTAACTTCTGAGGCCAGGCTAGAAAAGACACTATAGATTCCATTTGGCTCTCTCGCTCGGGACAAGAACCTTGGAAGCCCTGAACTACCTTGAAAGAAATTAGTCCACACTAAGCTGCCATGCTGGAGAGACCATGTAAAGACAGAAAGAGATGCCCAAGGAACCTCAGCTGTTCGAGACTTCCCAGCCCAGGTGCCAGACCCCAGTGAATGAGAGAGCCTTCAGACGATTCTAGACCCTGAACAAAAATTGTCCAACTGAGCCCAGACAACCCCCAGAGATACAATGGCAACAATAAAAGGATTGTTGTGGTTTTAAACCACTGTTCTGAGGTCATTTGTCATGCAGCAATAAAACCAGAAGACGTCCATATGTCTTGAAACTGTCTGCCAGGTCAGAAGGAAGCTGTTTTTGCCTCTTCTCTCCCCTCTCTGCCCCATCCACCCCTTCCTACTTCAGTTCTTTTTAAATCTGTAAGTTCCCAGGACTTCAGGGCACTTATGATCCATACAATGAATAGGATGTCATCTTAAAAAATTCTGTCAAGGGACGCCTGGATGGTTCAGTCGGTTAAGCGGCTGCCTTCAGCTCAGGTCATGATCCCAGGGTCCTGGGATCGAGCCCCACGTCCAGCTTCCTATTTAGTGGAGAGCCTGCTTCTCCCTCTCCCTCTGCCTGCTGCTCTGCCTACTTGTGCTCTCTCTCTGTCAAATAAATAAATAAAATCTTTAAAAAAAAAAAAAAAAGAAAAAAATTCTGTCAATATATCCAATAGTATTTGCTTAAAAGATGCTACTGTCAACATAAATATTCTTATCTACAATAGAACAAGGACCAATGTTGAAGCTTCTAAAAAATATTTAGAATCTTTATTTTTCTAATTTTTCATAGAATAAAACTTTTATTACTGTCTGACAGTATAGCCAGACAGGAGTTGTTACCCTTAAATCCTCCGAGACAACTGATGGTTTGCGGCTAAAAAAGAAAAGAAAGGAAAGGAAAGGAAAAAAGAAAAAGAAAGAAAGACAGAGAAAGAAAGAAAGAAAGACAAGAAAGAAAGACAGACAGAAAGAAAGAAAAAGAAAGAAAGGAAAGAAAGAAAGAAAGAAAGAAAGAAAGAAAGAAAGAAAGAAAGAAAGGAAGAAAGAAAGGAAGAAAGAAAGAGAAAGAAAGAAAGAAAAAGAAAGAAAGAGTTTTTCTAAATACATATGTATGGAGGGTCTGGAAACCCAAACGATTTTCCAGGATTCAAGTATAACTCTTCATAACCACACTCCATATATACAGAAAGCAGAGTGTAAACCTCAACCAATTATATTTCAAAGCAAAGAATGTTTTTCTCCTGAGAGAATATGTGCATGACAGCTCTGGAGGTTTAAATTTAAACCATCTTGAATTAAATCTAAACACACAAAAAGTGGATCTTGACAAATTTCGTAAACAACATTTGCTCATGCTTGGGTAATTCAGAAATGGCTGAACAGACAGATTCAACCTTCCAGAAAAGAATTTGCTTCTGAGCTGATATGAAGCATATGAAATTTCAGCTGAAAAGGTTACTAGGAGAGGGAGAAATTTGTAAGACATTGAAAATAGAGATGCCAGATGAATAGAAAGATGATAAATGTAAAGTAGGAGCTTGGAATGAGAGCAATTCCCATGGCCATAAATCTAACAGTACTGGTTATGTCATAATTTCAAAGGTTTTATGTATTTATCTGAGATGAGTACATAGCTCAACACCATCCTTATCCAATTTTTTTTCTCAGATTCCTCTTGGTTATAATAACAGTTCATATTTTGGGGCGCCTGGGTGGCTCAGTCTTTGGGCGTTTGCCTTCAGCTCGGGTCATGATCCCAGGGTCCTGGGATCGAGCCCCGCATTGGGCTCCCTGCTCGGCGGAGAGCCTGCTTCTCCCTCTACCACTCCCCCTGCTTGTGTTCCCTCTCTCACTGTCTCTCTCCATCAGACAAATAAATAAAATCTTTTAAAAAAAATAACAGTTCATATTTTCATCATACATTTCAAAATACACTGTATACATTATGAGATATTATGTCCTCTGTGTCTAAAGTCACCAGTTAAAACAAATAAAACCATTGCAACACTGTGCAAACTTAATTCCTGGTATTTGCCTTTCCAAATTCTGTTTACCTAAACTAGGACCACATGCACACCTGCCCAGCACCCCCGGTGCTCTCTGCCCACCTTTCCCTCTGTCGGTGTTTTTATGAGCCCAGCTAAGCTCCTATATCCCTCAAGAAGCCTTCCTTTACCTCCCCAGGTCACAATAATGTTCTAGAGCTCTCTTGGCTTAAAGCACACATTTTGAGGATAGAATCATTGGAATCATATAATTTAATGGTGATTTGCCTTCCCTACCCACAGTACCAATTATTTATTATTAAATGAGGTTGTAAATTCCTGAGAGAAAACAATAAGGTAAAGTTGAGCTTTACCTTGAACTTTTATTAAGCCCTTATCACAAATCAGTAAGTACTGATTTAAATGTTTAAATACCTTATTTAATGCTATCGTGTAGGGAAGGTATTTATCATCCTTATTTGTGGGGTAGGAGGTGCCAAGTGAGAGGAAGCAAATCCAAAAAATGTTAAGAGTAGCATGCCCAAGTAAAGAGTCAGTTCCCGATGGCCTGACAGCTGAAGGCTGTCTTCTGACAGCACTCTTAGAAGCCTGGCAACAATCCTGTCTTGAGGGGAGAACCGTGTGGTACATTTCCATGTTCATCACAGGCCACTCCTTGAGCCACTTGATCCACTTCATATATATTTGGAGAGCCTCTCCTTCAAGATTCTGATGGGCCTCCCTTTCAGGGGGAATCTTAGAAGAGAAAGGTTAGTGTGAAAAAATTACAATCCCCGGCACTGCTGTCGGTCCTAGGGTCCCAAATGCTACCCACTGATTCCCTCTTCCACGAGCAAGTCTAGATCCCCTCACCCTCAAGAGCTGGTCTAGGCTGTTTACTTGGTGACACAACCAAGATTCTCATCTCTGATTGCTGCACTTGTTCATTTACTGTTAGAACCGAAGGGAGAATAAAGAGGTGCCCAAATAGATCACCTGTTTGCTAAACATATTCCTCTTCGCCTCTCTTGTGTAATTATAGCACTGCCTCTTCTTGATGATTAGTGTAAATTACCTCAGCCAAGATAGTGACTCTTCTTGCCTGCTGATATCTATCCCTTGGTGGAGGTGGTGTTCCATTGGAGAAGAGGAATTCTAACCCTGCAGAGGCAAGAGGTTTGGGGACAAGAGGCACAAATTTCCCAAATGGATCACTTCCCAATAGGGAGTTAAGGCAAGTATGGTCACTCCTGCTTCCACCCTTTGGTTTTTAGACCCATGTAGACTTCTTATCGGGGATGTAGCACTATACGAAGTCTTTGATTCAACATACATGCTGTGCCGTAGAGGGTGGCTCACCATCCTCATAAAGTGTCACCTTCAAGATGGAACTTCAGCTGTGCTTCCAGGAAGATGTTCCACTTTTTCCAGCAGCTTCTTGGTGGTGCAGTATGTGATATGACCAGTGGGTCCCATGATCATGAGCCACTCCTACACATTAGGTAATGTGGGTTACCAGATTTGACACAGTGCTATGTGGGACCTCATGTCAATAGAGTAACACTCTGTAAGACTCTGGATAGTAATATTGGCTGAAGCCCTGCAGGTAGGAAAGGCAAACCTATAGCAGGAATGTGTGTAT